CCTCGTATACAGCCTCCACATCTGTGTGAACGTTGTCGAGTGTGTTTCTGCTGCTGAACGTTAAATGTTTTGATAAAAACTGAGCAGAACTGAGCTGATGTTTGTCTGGTTAGAGTCCCCGGCAGCAGTAAAGACTCCTTCAGGATGGGAGTTGTGCTGTTTACTGAGAGCTGAGGTAGCAGCTCTCAGTAAACAGCACATCTAGTGGTTTGTAGAAACAACTACTAATATCATTACTGCATGATCTTCTTTCTGCCCTGTTGGTAAAGACAAGTGCTGGATACCAGGATTACATCACAAACTGATGGCAGGCCGACAGATCAAACTCTCAAACATGCTCCGAAAGCTCCAAATTTGTTTAATCAATGAAGTCTGTCCAAATGACTTCTTAAAACATGTGAATGAACATGTGTCCTTTCACAGCCGTTAACTACACTGGGATGGATTTTTCATAGGATGACCCCCATGTCAGCACAAAAAACTACTCAGAAACGCCTCAAAGACCAACTGAGAGGCCGAGCTGCCGACTGGGTCTTTAAATTCCCCAGATCACAGTCTGCTCAAGCATCCATGGAGTGCCCTGGAACATCCACAGAGGCCCAACTCCACAACCCTCAGGACCCAAAGGATCCAATGCCAATGTGCTGGGGCAGGACACCACCGGAGACCTTTACCAGTGCTGTGTTCAGAACCGAGCCACCTTGCAGCATCAGTTTCTGTCAGCATTCTACAAAGAATATGACAAAAATCATATCAAAAATGGTCCCTTTAGACCAACAAACGAAGTGAGATCATCAGCAGAAAAGCCTTCGGTTCTAAAATATATTTTTGCCTTTAAATATTTTATTCTACATATTGTTGTATTGGGCTGCAGGGTGGCACAGTTGGTAGCACTGTTTCCTCGCAGCTAGAAGGTCGCCGGTTCACGTCCCAGTGGAGGCACCGCGATCTTTCTGTGTGGAGTCTCCATGTTCTCCTCGTGCAGCGTGGGTTCTCTCCGGGTTCTCCAGCTTCCTCCCATAATGTCCAGAAACATGCTGAGGTTAATTGGT